GTGCCAAGCACAGTCCCCGCCAGGCACTGGAGGAGCCCCCAACCCTCCCCCCCCTGAGGCCTGGTCCTGATCCCCACCCCCAGTGCTGCCCCCCCTGGGGCCGGCAGGGGCAGGGGGGGTTCCCAGCACTTTATTCCTTCTCTGGAGGCTTTGGGAACCCCCCAGCCCAGCGTCCTGCTTTTCTGGGGGCCACCCCCTGCTTTTCCTCAGAGCCTTTTCAGCAAAACACTGACGTAAATAATCGTGGGGGTGGATTTTGCTGCAGGTCCGCGGTGTGCTGCCTCTCCACGAAAGCTGGCTCCAGGTCTGTCCTCGCCGCCCTGGCGTCGGCAGCAAAGCGCGTCAACGGGAGGTACGAGAGGTTTTTGGAAAGGACGTTCCCCCGTTTCTATGTGCTGTACGTGACTTTCACGAAAGGTGGGTCTCGGGGAGGAGAGAACGTTTCTGCTTCTCTGAGGAGAAGGGAGGCAGCTGGATGCACTGCTGTTCCCTTCCCGGGGCTAAAAACTGCATCACCAGAGGTGTTTGCCCGAGAACCAGGGACCTGAAGGTGCTCTCTCTTCCGACAGGAATGCAAGCTCTCTTCCTGGAAGTTAAAGAAATAAGAAAAATCAAATCTAAAATGTCCCATCAGAGACTGAGCGTTCAGCAGCTTCCGTACCGGGAGATGGAGAGGCTGCGGCAGGTACAGCGCGGCTCGGTGCCACAGTGCCCGGCTCTGCCTCCCCCCGGCCACTGGGACGTTTCCTCCCCTGAAAAAGGGGCTTGAATTCACAGAATCCCAGAATCATTCAGGTTGGAAAAGCCCCTCAGGATCATCGAGTCCAACCCTCAGCCCGACTCTACAAAGTTCTCCCCTACCCCACATCCCCCACAGCTCATCCCAAGGGCCCTGAAACCCCCCAGGGATGGGGACTCCCCCCTCCCTGGGCAGCCTGTTCCACTCTCTGACCACTCTTCCATGAAACATTTTCTCCTCCTGTCCAGCCTGACCCTCCCCTGTTGCAGTTTCCAGCTGTTCCCTCTTGTCCTGTCCCTGATCCCCTGGGAGCAGAGCCCAGCCCCAGCCTCTCCACAACGTCCTGTCAGGAGCTGCAGAGAGGGATGAGGGCTCCCCTCAGCCTCCTCCTCCTCACACTGAACACTCCCAGTTCCTTCCCTGGCTCCTCACAGGATTTATTCTCCAGCCCTTCCCCAGCCTCGTTGCCCTCCTCTGCCCTTGCTCCAGCCCCCTCAGATCTCTCTGGGATTGAGGTGCCCAAACCTGGACACAACCCTCCAGGTGTGGCCTCACCAGTGCAGAGCACAGGGGGACTGTCACCTCCCTGCTTCTTCTGGCCACACTAGTGCTGACACAAGCCAGGATGCCGTTGGCTTTCTTGGCCACCCAGGCACACTGCTGGCTCCTGTTCAGCTGCTTGTCAGTGAGAACCCCCAGACCCTTCTCTCCCAGACAGCTCCAGCCACCCCTCCCCGAGCCTGTAGCCATGCGGGGGGTTGTTGTGGCCCAAGTGCAGGCCCTGGCACTTGCCCTTGCTGAAGCCCATCCCCTTCATGTTGGCCACCAACCCCATCTATCTGAGTCAATTCACATGTGGGGCTTTGGCAGTGAGTCGGAGTGGCCGATTCCTCTGGGCGAAGCACCTTCCCTGCCTAAAAATGGTCTGGAAGCTGCAGCCTGGGCTGGTAATTTTGAGGGAACGTGGAGAGCGTGGCGTCAGACCCTGATTGTCTCTTCTTGTTTCGGAGGCAGTTTCGCAGGGACGTGCTCAAGGCCATTCCCATCGGAGTCATCGCCATCCCGCCCTTCGCCAACTTCTTGGTCATCGTCCTGATGTGAGTACCTGGCATCGCGGTGACCGCTGGGGCCTGGCCGGGGCCCCCATCTTTGTGCTCCTCGATACCTTAAATTTCACAGAGCCGGGTGTTTTTTAGAGTTCTGAATGCAGCCAGACGATCTCCCTTCCTCGCTCCATAGTGAATACCCGTAGCCTGACGAGCCCAGCGATTGTTTCGCAATTCCGGCTCCCGCGTGCCAGGGACCCGCCCGGGCTCTCCAATGCAGAGAAATAATCCCCGGCACGAAGGGAACGGCCCTGGGTGTGCTCAGCTGGAGAAACCTCCTTGCACAATTCCCTCCCAGTTGTCTGCAGTCCTTTGAACGTCGCTCTCCCTGCCAGCTGTCCTGAAGCCAGTGCTAAATCCTGGTTAAATCCCTGGATTTTTCAATTCTGTTCCCTGACTTTTGTGTGCAGCTGGTGGGTGAGAGCCCAGCACGGGACAGAGATCTCTGGGTTGTGTCGAGCCTCAGCCTCAGGGGAGAAGCAGGGACCCGACTGCCCAGAGAGCCCCGTCCTGAGCTCACCCTGGCTTTGCAGGAGCAGATCTGTCTCCTTGCAGGACGAGGTGACCTGCTTAATGGAGGAGGGAAAGGCTGTGGGTGTTCTTTACCTTCCCAGATCTGACTGATTCACTCATCTACTGGATTTATTTTCCTGCTGGAGGGTGGGAAGGTTCTGCAGAGGGATCTGCACAGGCTGGATCGATGGGCCAAGGCCAATTCTGTGAGATTTAACAAAGCTCAGTGTCAGGCCCTGCGCTTGGGGCACAACAACCCCACGTAACGCTGCAGGTGTGGGGCAGAGCCGCTGGAAAACTGCCCAGCTGGAACAGACATGGGGGGTTGGTCCGCGGCTGGCTGGATGTGAGCCAGCAGTGTGCCCAGGGGGCCAAGGAGGGCAATGGCATCCTGGCTTGTACCAGCACTGGTGTGGCCACAGGGACAGGGAAGGGATCTGAGCCCTGGGCTCGGCACTGGGCAGGCCGCCCCTCAAATACTGTGATTGGTTTTGGGGCCCTCACTGCAGGAAAGACATTGAGGGGTTGGAGCGTGTCCATGGAGGGGCAGCGGAGCCTGTGAAGGGTCCAGAGCTCAGCTGAGGGTCCAGCTGAGGGAACTGGGGGGGTTTAGTCTGGAGAAAAGGCTCAGGGAAGACTTTACCGCTCTCTACAACTACCCGAAGGGAGGTTGTAGTGAGGTGGGGGTCGGTCTCTTCTCCCAGGTAACAAGTGACAGGACAAGAGGGAACGGCCTCAGGCTGCACCAGGGGAGGTTTAGGTTGGATATCAGAAAAAATTTCTTCACTGAAAGGGTTGTCAAGCCTTGGGACAGGCTGCCCAGGGAAGGGCTTGAGTCACCCTGGAGGTATTTAAAAGCCGTGTAGACGTGGCACTTGAGGACATGGTTTAGTGGTGGCCTTGGCAGTGTTGGGTTAACGGCCAGACTTGATGATCTCAGGGTCTTTTTCAGCCTCAGTGATTCTCTGATTCCTGAGCTCACCCCTTTGAGGGACTGAACGTTGGCAGCTCCTTGGGGCCAGATGTGCTGTCCCTGCTTGTGCCTCATTTCCAGCAGCACAAAACCTGACTGCCCCGGCTCGTGGTTTTCCCTCCCTGACCCCCCGTCTCCTCTTCTCCCCAAGGTATTTCTTCCCCCGCCAGCTCCTCATCCGCTACTTCTGGACCCCCAAGCAGCAGGTTGAGTTCCTGGATGCCTACGACGCCATCCGGAGAGACTCGTACCTGGATGTGGTGGAGAGTTTAACCCTGGCAGCGCGTTCCCTGCCCGAGCTGCAGCTCCAGCAGCGCCTGCGGGAGCTCTGCGCCGAGGTAGGGCCCGTCCTGCCTGTGCTGCCACCACCCCGGCCCTGCCTGCTGCTGCCCGATGCCCGTGGGAGGTGTTGGCAGCACGTGCCGTGGCTCTTGCAGGTGCAGCGAGGCTCCCAGCCATGCGTGGCAGAACTCTACGCTGTGAGAAGTTTGTTTTCGGGCTCTCCGCTGGGTCTGAACAAGCTCCAGGTGTCTCACGTGGTGAGTGCAGCTTTTCTCCTGCCCACAGAGCACTGAGACTGTGCCCCAGGTGGGGTGTTGTGCCCTAAAACCAGGTGTAGAGGAAAAGCT